AAAATGCTTTAACGCTGCCCACCCGTGCGAGCTCATCTGCCGCTTCATTGCCAGCAACTCCAGAGTGACCTGGAACCCAGATCTGAGAAACTCTGTTATCACAACTCAGTGTGTTTAATGTTCTTTTCTAATCATTAAGTAGAGCCGACACTGTTTTCACTGCCTGCAGCGCCTGGAGAGCGGCTGCACAGTCTAAAAAAATCGTACTGTCATGTTCTTTACCCCTCTCTCAAGAACGTTATTCGTTAAATTAAAGTCAGCTTTATTCTAAGGAAATATATTGGCTTTACTTAGAACACAAAAAAAAGAATATGTACACCACGGCTTTATTAACCCTGAACAGAAAACAGCGTTAAATATATGCTCCCGGAATGTCATTTATCACGTATCTGTCATTTCCGTGCATTCGCCTCACTGTATAAGGTCCTTTGCATTTGGGTAATAATTTTCGCGAATGTCCCATTGCCGCTAACTCGCGTTTCACTAACACAATGTCGTCAACATTATACGTTAGCGGTTGTTTGTGCTTCTGATCAAAATACTTCTTATCCTTTTGTTGTTGTTCACCAATTCGTCGTACTGCGTCTATTCGTAAGTTGTCAATATCTTTGGGATAGTCAACTTTGCTCACAGCTAATGCTATATGGTTTCGCAAGGCATTTCTTAGACGATATCCAAATAGCAGTTGGTTGGGCGTCTTTCCTGTTGTCTTGTTTTCAGCGTAATTTAACGCAAATTGTATTTCTTGGATTCGCCTGTCCCAATCTCTTCCTTCTTCGTCTTCATACATTGTTATTAACGCAGTCAAAAGGGTTTGGTTTTGTCTTTCGACCTGCCCATTTGCTCTTGGCGTTGCTGTAGCATTACGAATATGTTTAATTTGGTTTTGTTCACAGAATTTCTCAAATTTCTCCGATGTAAACGATGTCGCTCTATCGGTTATTAAACGATGTGTTGTTCCAAAATAACTAAAGACATCTTTCAAGATATTCACGACAGGTGTTGTTTTTGTAGATTTTACCGCTCACAATATCGTGTAGTCCGTGAAGTTGTCCTGGTACAACAGAACATAATCATGCCTCTTTGCACTATTGACAAATGGTTCTAAGTGACCATTTGATGATGGAATTGGTACCCTCTCTATTACGTATAGTTCTCCTTCGGGTCTTTCTTTCACGGCTTTGTGGTACGCGCATCTTACGCAAGAGTATATGTAATTCTTCACCTTTTTCCGCATCTTTGCAAACCAATAATGTCGTTGTAGGTTCTTCAACGTTCTCTCGACTCCATAATGCCCCCTTTTTATCGCGACTCTCTTCTATAACACGACAAATTACTCCCTTAGGAACAACCCATTTCGGTCGGTCATCGGTTTTTCGACAAATTCTATTTTCCTCGATCTCATAGTCAGCTGCATCGTCAGCAACCAGTCAGTTTAATCGATTCTTAAGGTGTTGATTTTCAGATCACCTTCTTCTGGTTCTTTTCCAGGCTCATTTGGGTGTATACTCAAGGCGTCAACATGTGACATCCTTTCTCCCGATCGATGTATAACAAAAAAGTCGTATTCTTGTAACTTCAAGAGCCATCGGCCAATCCTCGGCGTCATATCAGTAACTACTATAAAGTGTCGTCCCAATACGTATATTCTGAAGCTATCTATGGCTTCCACTACAGCCAATACTTCAAGTTGATAGCTATGGTACTTGGGCTCCAATTCGGTCGTCTTTCGGCTATAATAAGCCAATGGTTGAAATGTTCCTTTATCAGTTTTCAGCAGAAGCATGCCTGCAAGACCGTCCTTACAAGCATCTGTATGTAGTTCCAATTCTGCTCTATAAACATAGAGTGGTAGTATCGGTTTTTGGGTCAATGTATCCTTCAGCGTTTGGAATGCTATAGTTGTAACAACATTTTGGTGTCTCTCTTGACCTGGTATCGTCATCTTCTTGTTCATTTTGTCTCGGCTTGTTTGTTCTTGTTTGCTTCTGCTTCCTTATCTTGTCGTATATCTCCAGTTTTTCTTTAAATTCACTATTATTACATTATACTAGATTTCCTAGTTCTCGCATTTTCAAAAAGTACTCTCCCACTGTTTCATCACTCTTCATTCGTCTCCGTGACAGCATTTTGTGCAACTCATCACTGCTGAATTTTCTGCAACACTCATCTTCTAATTTTATTTTCAGCTTTTTCCATGTCGTGATTCCTCTTTCACTCTGGATAAATAGCTTGCTACTCCTCTTAGCAATTTCTTGCAATAAATAAATTTTTGCACATCTGTCCATTCTAATAAAACAGCGCTTTCTTCGAATTCTTCCATCCAGGTGTCTATCGCACATTCACCTTTGCCATCAAAAGGTCGAATCGTGTCTTTAATATCCCTGAATGTCATCATAAACTTCGTCGTCATGCATAAATCATCTTCGTACGTTTTAGTTTTCTTCTTATTCGTCGTCTTTGGTGTAGTCCTAGAACCACAACTTCGTCTTTCGTCTACATTTTCATCATCATCGGTGTCTTCATCGTCGTTTCCATTGTTGTCATCAGTATCATCGTTTTCTTGCATCTCTTCATTATTCTTACCTCCGCTGTTGCTTTTTTCGTGTTCTTCGGTAGCTTTCATACTCAACGCTAATTTATTCAAATCGCTCAAGGTCATGCAAACCTTCTTCGGTATCTCGTCGACAGTAACACTATCAAAATCGACATGTAACACACAACAACATGCAACCAGATCTTTCAGCGTTAGGTTCTCTTTGATGTATTTTCATTTTTTGTTAAAATCGTCGGAGTTTTCGTCAAATGAGAACCCTTGGAACTCTCTTAAGCTTTGTCGATTTTTTCGGTCACCATCGTATTCAAAAATCAATCTACGTAAGGCTTTTATTGCATGACCGGTGCCGATTTAATATCAGCATTAATTGTAGGATTATTTGACAAAGTTTCCATCGTAAAATCAAAATAAAGTTCATCTGACAAACATCCTTTGTTCTTATAAAAATCGAACCCATATGTATTGTCTCGCCACGTTGTCGCGTTACCAATACGGAGTCGCTCGGCATGTACGTACTTCACCGTTTTACCATAGGTTTCACACTGATTTCAGATATTAATCTCACCGCAGCAATTGTTATTCGTTATATTTTAAAGTCAGCTTAACTCTAAGGAAATATATTGGGTTTACTTAGAACACAAAAAAAAGAATATGTAACTGAGTAAACAAAACGATATATATTATTTAGTCCACACGACACGTGTAACACTTCCTTCTTCTTCCGATGATGCACACAGACTTCTTTTAGTTCGTACATCCCATCTCCATAAGCCATCTATTGTCGTTCGCCAACAAGAAGAATTTTAATACCCATGTCAATAGCAAATACTTCCACCTAGAAAACAGTGCAGTATGTAAGCTTGCTTAATCCGAAGTTTCTGGCAGTATACCCCTGCTGCGACCCCTTCCGACGTTTTTGACACATCTGTGAACATGCAAATATCTGCCGAATTTTCATTTTCGATCCAGGACTTCTGTACAGGCAGTACAATCTGGTATCGAGCAGTAATCACTGATAGTTATCCCGCCAAATCTGATGACACTTATAGCACTGTATCAGTGCTTATAATGTCTTCCATAGCCCATTGGTAGAACATATCAGAACAGTTTTCAGCATATTGCTTAAATCTGTAAATGGTAGTTCTAGCCACTTTCTCTATATGCAAATGCAAAGGAAATAGGCCAAGCAGAACATCCATTGTTAGAGTTGACGTTGTGCTTATCGCACCAGAGACTGGATCCAGCTACTCGTTGAATTTGTGAAAGTTTACTGATAACTGAACTCTGTCGGACATTCCCATACCAGGCTGCTGCTCCGTATGTGATCATAGGTCGAACCACAGTCGCATAAAGCCAGTACAGTCTTGCAGGGGTAAGACCCCAATTTTTCCACAAAGACTACGACAAGTCCACAAGAATAATCTAGTTTTATGTAAAACTCCCTGCAAACGTCCATTCCATGAGAGGGTTTTGTCTAAGATTACTCCTAAATATTTGACTTCCTTTGAGAAAGGAATTTCTTCAACTTGGATAGTTGGGCGGATTAGTCCATCCAACTTTCGTCTCCTGGTGAAGGGCACAACGATTGTCTTTTGTGATTTTATCGAGAGATTATCTCCCTTATACGCAAATGGTATCTAGAGTCACCTGGAGACAGGATGACATATAATATTACGCATTATATTACAGAAGCGCATATGATTCAATCAACGCGACATATTGATTGGATCTAATTCTAATTGAACAATTAAATAATGTTAAAAAATAACAATAACATTAGATTAAGATGAAATGCACTTTTAGCAAGTTTGAAACAGTTAATGTTTAAGTTAAGGGATACCAACCCACACCTTATTTTTTCTATGAAAGTTGATTATCGTTATTATACCACTTGTGCTGTAACGTTGTATGGATAACAATTAGGTATTTTTAAGACAACATACCTCCAAAACTGATTGTGATATCGTAATGAGATAGTAAGCAGATTGAGATAAAGAACAAAAACTGATTGAGATAATGAGTATTTTACAACAAATTTAGTCTTATTTTTATAAATTACAACACATGATGTGTTTTCATACATCAAAATCCAATATTAATCGAAAACTAATCATTTTAGAAACTATAATCATTCATTCTAAGCCCTTGTTTAAGCTGTTTAAATTAGAATTGACCCAAAAAGTTTTTATATCAAAATAATACAAAAAAATATGTTAATTTATTTAAATATAATTGTTTGTACTATGCATACATTATTATTTTAACAAAAAAAGGTCCTCAAGATAAGAATTTTTTTTAATAATTTATTTTCGTGTGTAACGTCACAGACAACAGCGAACAAAAAAAAATTCTTCGGCGAAGTTGTTAAAACATTTGTATATTAAAACAAACACGTCTCCCACTATAATTTAAACCTTGTAAACTGCGTATATAAGAACTCTCGCGGATTATGAAAATGCACCAGTTGACATTAACGACATTCAAAATGAAACAATTTGGAGTGATTTATCTTTTATCTGCGTTGTATTTAAACGTTGTTTTTGGAGGTAAGATTATTATTTTACTAAAATCATTTTTTTAAAATAATATAAGTAGATAATGTTAATCAAAAATTTAATATGTATTTAATTAAATTTGTAACATATCAACATATTAGTTTTCGTTTTTGTTGCTTAACAAGTGAAACTCGATGATGTTGCCATGATCTCAATTTTAAGTTCCAACCTATTTTTTACCTATTATATGTGATTCCGCGCGAAGGTCAGATAATATCGACGTATATATTGTCTTGTAAAAGAATAATAACAAAATATTTACTTTGCAATTAACCCAAAATGTGTAAAATGCACTTGACATAACATTTCTTGATGAATTCTGAGAATTTTTAATTCAGAGAGGTGTCCTCGTCTTACTTTATGAAGACATTTAATTTTTTTTTAGAATCAAAAGAAAGTAAAATTTTTACTTGTTGAAATTTCAGAGAAAAATTGCGATGACCTTGGCTTAAATTTCTATAGATCTATTGGATGTAAAGAATCAGGAAAAGAAAATGGTTGTCCTTCTTACGATGGTTGTCAATACAGTCAACCCATTGGACATTGTACTTATCAAGGACAAAAAATCGATAAGGGTCAAGCCGTTAAGGACGTTGTAAAAGATTCAAGTTGTAGTTTTGGATGTATTTGTACAGCAGCTGATGGTGAAAAGTAACAAAAAATATCATTTAAAATCGTTATCTGTTTAAACTTAAATCAATTTTTGATTTATTTCAGGGGATCATTTCTCTGCGCTCAAGGTCATTGTGGAATTGATGAATCCATTTTATTTGGAAAAAGTCCAAATTGTTTCTTAAGATATTCTTTAGATCAATGTTGTCCAAATTCAGAACCGGAATGTGCAGGTAATCACAAAAAAATAATTAAGCATTAATGACTTATCATTTTAATTGTTTTAATAGAAGAATCCCCAGCTACATGTAAAGTAGGAAATGAAGAATTTAAAGAAGGAAAATTATTTAGTCCAAAAGATAAATGCATAACATGCCTTTGTACAAAAGATTTCGATGGAAAACTTGACGGACCAAATTGCCAACCAACTCCATGCGATGTCGAAGTGAGACACTCACAAGATATCGAAAAGAATTGTGCTCCATTATATTTCATAAACCCGAAAAAATCGGAAGCTTTATGCTGTCCAGTTACTTTTGTTTGCCGTAAGTAAATATGAGAAGATTTTAATTTTGTTATGATATATTTTTTTTTATTTCAAATAGCATCAAAAATTGATGTCATTAAAGAAAACGACACGAAATCAACAGATAGAGTCTGCAAATATGGATTGAAAACTTTAAAACTTGGATCGACGATTGAAACTGAAAACGATAGCTATGGAAAAAGGAAAGTTCATTGTGAATGTGTTTCCCCTCCTTTAATGACGTGTACAATGAGTTATTAATTAAAAACATAATTGATAATTTTAATTTTTCATGTTGAATTTGTTTCTTTGTTAATAACTTAATAATGTATTATATTGATTTATATTTAAAATAAAATTCTAAATATTTTCAAATCTGGACTCACTTTACAATATTATACGTTTACTTCACCTCCTCTTCACTAGATCAATTTTTGAGCAGCTGTGTGGCATGTAGTACCATATTGTTGGAACCACATATCACTGACATATCCGTCCAATTCTGGTCAAAAATAGTCTTCCAACATAGTATGACGGTCACTTTTTGTGGTTGTAGTTGCTGTTCAATAACGCATATTTTGCTTATTGATATAACCATTAAGCCAAAAATGAGCTTCATCGGTGAAGATGATTTTCTGCCGAAATTCAGGATTTAGCTGTAGAGTTTCGAAGACTCAAATGATCAAAAAACTGCCATAATTTATTGACAGACCTACATTTCTTATGGAAGGCGTGATCTTAGTGGTTAGTTACTATTAAATACTTACTGCACACTATAAGAACTAACCAGAAGAAAGAAGACGAAAAGAAAAAGAAAACCGGAAATGAAGAACATGTAAAGTTGTTGAAATCTTAATGAAAAGCCTAAAATAGTTGCGATGTATGTAACATATCTTAAGGAAGTACATAGAAACAGATAGGAATATACACCGGGTGTAAGTTATTTTGATTGTATGTTTTTTTAGGTAAATTTCACCATGCTCTTTAAAACCCCATACCGCAGCCAACGTTTATCCAAAAAGCTCTAAATTGGCACGATTACTCTTCAGATGCTGCCAAATTGATTGTCATTTGTGGTATCAGAGCGTCTTATACAGGATGGCCAAAAATTGAATTACCGTTTCTCCAAATCGTGCCAATTTAGAGCTTTGTTGAATAAACGTTTGCTGAGATATTTTCTGCAAAAAATATCTAATTACATCATATGCAGCAGGAAGGGGGTTACCAGCAATTCCAACATTCCATTTTCTTATGTCAGGTTGCTATGCATTATTATGGATTGATATCTGCTGTTATAGAAGATCAAGTCTCTTTCTCAGATTTCCGTCCATGAATCGTCCAGTTCTGCTAGTGTTTTTCCGTGTTCGTTTAGCGGTATAGCTCGATATCGTAAAAGAATTTCATATAATTTTTCGTTCATAATACTTTTCTTATTATTCATAGCTCTCAAATGTTTTTTAGAGTGGCCACATATCGTTCAGCTTGTCCATTGGTCGCTGGATGATTTGGTGCAATAAAATTCTGTCTAATTCTGTTTCTTTTACAAAATTCTGTAAAATGTTGAGATATAAAGATTGTTCCATTATCGGATAGCAAAATTTGTGGTAATCCTATGTCGGTACTTGTTTTTGTACATAATATTTCAGGCTATTTTGATTTGGCACTTACCATTAGTAAGAAATAATGTCCTTTGAAAAGGACCGGCGTAATCCATGTGATCGCGTTGCCAATTATTATCTGCTATGTCCCATTTATGTAATGCAACCTTTTCTGGATTACTTCTAATATTTGCACAGGCTTCACATGATCGTGCCAAGGTTTCATCTTCTCGCTAATGACTTCATTCTTACAATTCATTGATGTGAGGAATGCAATTCTTTAAGTACATGGATTTGAAGATTATCTACAACGACGGTAACTTCTGACTTTTTCCAAAAATATGACATAGTAGTTTATCGGTATTATATGTCGGTTATTTACGTGAAATGACGACCACATATATAAGCAAAAAACTTTTGAAATGCCCAATAAACAGCAGTGGCTTCCTTATCCAGCTGGGAACAGCTTTTCTCTGGATTAAGGACCTGGATGCGAAAGCTTCGGTCTTTCGTCTTCATTAATGAAATGAGATAAAATAGCTGAGAGCCCAACTGGACTGGCATCTATTGCGATGACCAACAGCAACTTCGGATAGTAGCACCAAAACTCGGTCATTGGAAATTTCTTGCTTTATTTCCAGGAATGCTAGTTCACCTGACGGGAACCATTGGAATTCGTTGGTACATCTTAACAATCGATAAATTGGATCAAGTATCGAGACGACTTCAGGTATAAATTTGGAATAATAAGATACATACTCGACAAAAGATTTAATTTCAGTAATGTTTGTCGGGCGTGGTGCTTTGATCATGGGTTCTACTTTCTCGGGTGCTGAACTCACTATGTGACCAAGATATTTAATCTGTGGTGCGAACAGGATACACTTTTTCTTATTGACATTGACATTATTGGCATTCTTTTATAGCATTCAGAGAGAGATTTGGCGTAGACGACAATATCGTCAAAGTAGGCAATGACTCCATCAAGTGCTTGTAAAATAGTATCAATACATTTTTGGAATTCATTCGGTGAAGATTTGATTCCAAATGCGAGACGTTTAATTTGGTGAGACCAGCATCTGTAATATTGCCTCCACTACACATAAAACTAGGTTTGATGAAAAACTTTGTGAAAACGTTGAATCCAGAAGGCCCAGCATTTAAATATCTCACCCAGCTCTTTCCACAACTATCGTACGCTAAATTAAAAGAAGGCATATTTGTTGGCCCTCAAATAAGGAAATTAATAATTGACAACGAATTCATGTCAACTTTAACAACAAAAGAAGTAACGGCGTGAATTAGCTTCAAACAAACCGTCCATGGATTTTTAGGATACCATAAGGATGAGAATTATCGCGAAATAATTTCCAACTTATTGCACAATTACGATGACATGAATGCAAATATGTCGCTCAAAATCCATTTGCTCTATTCGCACTTACATTTTTTTCCAAGCAATCGTGGAGCGGAAAGTGACAATTTTTGTCCGGTATTAAAAACCGGTATTGATGGCAAAATACTGGTGTTTCGGTATTATTTTTATTTAGTGCCCTCGATGGCCGAGGGCGGCCGATGTCTTCGAAAACGGCTGTGCTAGTTTGAAGTTGTGTTGAAAAATGACGTAAAGAATTCTTGTTTGTTATCTATCTTCTGTCCGTTCTAAGTTTACATTTTCAAGTGCCATTTTTTGACGTTTCAAAAAATGCTAGCCGGTGGCGAGCGATCGAAAACGGCCGTGTTTGTTTAAACCTGTGCTGCAAAATGATGTTGACCAAACAGAAATTTGTTATCTATCTTATGTCCGTACTAACGTCATTTTTTCAAGTGACATTTTTTGATCAGTGTGAACACTCTGACAGAATGTTGAAGATAACGAAGACTCAACCTTTGATGATGACAACTTAATGTTCGTGTTCAATAAATTTGTCATACCTAGCCAACAATAAAATAGTTTAGTGATAGTTGACTCAATGTTCATCGTGGGTTGTAAGTGATAAATAAAAGCTTCTTGGGAACGATGAAAAATTATTTATTCTTAATATAAGATCAGTGCAACATGTTTCGAGATTCAAAATCTCTTCATCAGGCACGACTAAAAAACATAAAATTGAAGTAAGAAATTTGTTATACATATTTTTTAATTTGTTTAGTTACCGTCAATTACTTATGGAGCACAAAATTGAACATCTGACAAACGTGGTGAAATTTTGTAGGTGATTGGACGAGATTGGTTAATAGTATAAACTACGTTATGTCCCTCTTGATTTGCTATTTGTCGAGTAGTGATCACTGCTATGCTTTAGTCAGTGGTTCTTTTTTAATAATGGTGTAAATTAACAGTTGTATTAAATTAGTTTTAAAAGAAAAACCCGATCAAACAATTAAGTTTAATTCAATTATTTTTTATTTTTTTCTTTATTTTTTGTTCTTTTACACTAAATGTTCTGTAGCTTTTGTTCTGTATTATTTACTTTATTTTGCTTAAAACCTCTCAGATCACCTGACCTCACACCTTTAGATTCTTTTTATGGGGCAAAATCAAAAATGAGCTCTATAATACACCAGTATGGTCTCGTGAGGTATTGGAAAATAAATCGAATTAGAAATTGTATTACCTAAATATCTCCGCAGGAATAACGTCGAGTCGTTAGATCGACAATACGCAAGATACAATTATGTCAAAATCGAGACGTAATAATCCGTTTAAGCGATACTATACATTTCAAATGGTTTTCTTATATCACCAATAATAAAGAAAAATATGGGGGTGAGCCACTTTTGAGGGACACCCGGTATAATTCTTTTTTGTTACGGTGCGATTAATTGAAAAAAAATGAGAAAATGCCAAAAAATTTCATTTTGTTGAGTTGTGTTAGGCTGTAGCAAAATAACGGAGAGTCCGATTTATGCCATCAATACCTCAAAATGTTCGTCTGGATCTCCACTTTCATGCTACAGAAGCACACTATGCAAAATAAAAAATATACTGAACATGAACCGTTGCTATGTTTTTTAATTTATGATTGATTTTATGAAAAAAATATTATATATTTATTGGAATAATTTTATTTATATTATAATTATTTTCAGAATCATATCTTTTATCATTTTCTTCAATTTCCTTAACCTGGCTGATTTCCTTTGATTATATATAATATGGATTGAGCTAACTGAATATATCTACTAACAAAAATGTTGCTCAAGGTGAATAGACGCAGATGGAAAGCGATAATGTGAAAGTGTAACAAAGATAGATATATTATATGTCAGTACGCTTCTATATCTATCTCACTTCTATCAGTACACCCATTATATGGCAGCACGCTTCTATGTCTATCTCGGTTCGATCACCTTGCGCAAGCTATCTCTCTCGTTGGCTCAATCCATATTATATATAATCAAAGCTGATTTCACAACAGCGGGTACCGGTTGACGTTGAGTTTCGGGACACCTATATATAAACTTGCATTTTAAATTTAATAGAAATATACGTATAATAGGTTGTATGAATTTTGAATTCTTAAATAAACTATTATATAACATTACTGTTTTTTGTCGAAAATAATTTAATAAAGTTGAATATAATCATTTCAAATAACTTTAGACTTTAGAGAATTTATTTAAAGATTTCTGTTAATCTTTATATTTTAAATAAAATCCATTAGATGGCACTTTGTAACATTTAGGTTATGTTTGAATTAACCTAAAAATTTAAAATAAGAAAATGTTGAGAAATAGCTCGATTCTGAACGTAACAATAATAAAACGATGGTATTCAAACCGAAATATGTTAAAATTAAAAGAACGCGGCATGTTTCAAGAACTATTTCCAGAAATTTCAGCGTGAGTAATTTATCTTAACCTCACTTTTTTAATCCCCATTTATTTTTCATCAACAATTTTTTCCAAATAAATTTTAGCGGAGAAGTTACAGATTTATTAAATGCAAAACCTCAAACGGTGTACGCTGGTTTTGACCCAACAGCTAATAGTTTACACATCGGAAACCTTTTGGTATTAGTAAATTTAATTCATTGGCAGCGGGGAGGTCATAATGTTATAGCTTTATTAGGGGGTGCCACAGCTAAAATAGGTGATCCAAGTGGTCGTACAACTGAAAGGGAACAACTTCAATCTGTTTTAATCGATGAGAATTTAAGTGGGATTAAGAAAAATATTGAGAATGTTTTTAATAATCACGAGAATCTTTTATGGAAAGAAAAAGATGTTTTACCCAAAGTAAGGTAGATAATTTTAATTTTTAATAGATTTAGATATATTTAACGTTTGTAATTAATTTAGGATATTAAATAATGAGGAGTGGTATAACAAAATGTCTCCCATACAACTTATCGGAAACGCTGGAAGATTTCTAAGAATGGGGACTTTATTATCAAGAACAAGTGTACAAAATAGATTAAACTCATCAACAGGAATGAGTTTTACAGAGTTTAGTTATCAATTATTTCAAGCGTACGATTGGTTACATTTAAATAAAGAATTTGGATGCAGATTTCAAATTGGAGGAAACGATCAAATGGGCAATATCATGTCAGGACATGATTTAATTAGTAAAACTCAAAAACAAAGCGTATATGGACTAACACTACCGTTAATTACAACAGAAGAAGGTGATAAATTTGGAAAATCCGCGGGAAATGCGATTTGGATTACAAACGATAAAACATCTCCATTTTCATTTTATCAATTTTGGGTTCGACAACGTGATAACGACGTTGAAAAGTTTTTAAAATTATTTACATTCGACACAATTGGAGCTATCAGCGATTTAATGAGAAAACATCGAGAAAAACCTGAATTAAGATTGCCCCAAAAATACCTAGCTGAACAAGTTACTTTGCTTGTTCATGGTGAAGAAGGTTTAAAAAAAGCGAATGCTGCCACTAAAGCTTTGTATGAAGGTAGTGTAGCTGCTTTAAGTTCAATGACAGTTGAAGAAGTTGCACAACTTTTTCAAGGGGCCACTGTTGTTGAAGTTTTACCGGAAGCGGGACAAAGCATTTTAGATTTGGCTTTAAAAGTTAAATGCTTTCCAACTACTAGTAAATAATTAAAAAAGGGTTTTAAAAAGATTTAATTTATTTATCATTGTTTTTTTAGGTGATGCTATAAGAATAATAACAGCAGGTGGGTTTTATGTAAATCAACAGAGGGTTTCAAATCCAAGCGAGGTTATTACACAATCTGCTCACCACTTAGAAAATAATGTTACGTTATTAAGAGTTGGAAAGAGAAATTATTATGTTATAAAATGGATGTAATAAAGTATGTCATTTTAGATAAGATTTTTGACGTTTCTGATTTATTAATATGTTCACAGAAAAAAGTATACACAGTGCCTGTAATCCTACACACCTATGTTTCTGAAATTTTGCTTATATAGGATGTTCACGTCCCGATCATTCGATCTAAAATATTTTCAAGATGGTCGCCACTTTAGGTCCACCCATATATACAGGATGTCTCAGCGAGACCGGTCATTAGACTTTTCTCGGGTTCTGGCCAAACAAAAAATTTGAGAATGCAGACTTAAGAGGATAACCTATTAGCGAAAACAACGAATACCATTTTATTCAGCCATCGTTTAAAATTTTTGTATGTTTGTTACATCAAAATTTCTATTTTTTTATATAGTTTTTAGTGATGCATTTAGTTTTTTCAAAAAATGTCGCGTAACGTTTCTAAAATCACGTTTTAAAAAATTTTTAAAAACGGAATGCATAACCAGGTAGTGAAATGTAAAGTAAATCATATTTAAAGAGTTCAATTTTTTTATTAAATGCAGCAAATTTAAATAAAATGGGTTTAAAACGTTTAGTCGGTTTTGATTGCTTTCGGAGTATAAATATGGCAACATCGCAAACATTGCTCCGTCCCAAACATTGCCCGAGACATAGTGGATCTCGGTAACCGAGACGTCGGCGTAGTGTCTCCCAAGAAAAACAAACCTGAAGCGATTAATATTTTCGGATATTAATTTACGTAGAATGCAAAACAATGTTTAAGTGTGGCAATAAATTTTTAATAATGAGAATATTTGCACAATTATCTGATCATTTACTATTAGATTAATTATTAAAATAAATACAAAAAAAAATGTAAAGAATATCACCAAATGTCTCTATCAAATGAACCTAAAAAAGGGTACATTGCCATTTAAAACAATTCAAGTGTTATTCGTTGCTCATCTGTTTTCTGAAATATAAACAATTGAATGCTGTCCTATTATGGCAAATAAAATATTAAACAACTTTTGTATAAAATGTTTTTTTATAAAGTCAACATTTACCGAGATATACAGGGTGTATCTGAATGACGTGCGCAAACTTTAGGGGTGATACCTATGTAAAATTTTTCTAATGTATTTATCATCTGCAAAAAAAATGTTTGCAAACATGTAAAGGGGGTGGTTATATTTAGTAGTTTAGAAGGGTAGGTTGAAAGTACAAATAGGGTCAAAACGTGCCCTATTATGAGTTAAACATATTCCCCAAATTTCATTTTCCTGGTGTTTATAGTTCTCGAGAAAACCTGTATACTATATTCCATAAATAATGGGCACCCTGTATAAAAATATATGGTGGTTCTGTAAGTGGTGGCATAATTTCAACCACATATACTGCTAGAGCAAAAATTATGACAACTAGTGTAAACGTTTTTAATCTTTAAATACAGGATGATTTATTAGCTCACCATTAAACTTTGACATATGACAGCTAATCCAATTATCAAAGAACATATGTCCTATTTCAATTATTTACGAAATTATAACACTTTAAAGTTTTCTGCAGCGAATTTATTAATAGTCAGTAAAATCAAACATTCAACAAAAACAAACTTGTCATTGTAATATGTCAGTTTGCTGTAAGGGTTAATTATTACATTTATTACATACAAGAAGAAACTTAAAATCTACGCTTATAGCACTGAAGAGTATGCTGATATAATTTTCGTGTATGGTTTTTGCAATTGAAATGCTCGACAATCAGTACCAGAATATCAAGTAAGATTTCCACAGCGTAATTTGCCATATTATTCAGTTTTTAGCGATTCTTTCAGAAGACTTCGAGAAACAGGTAATCCTATTCGACCGCATATAGTTAATGTAGAGGACGAAGAAGCTGTAATTAATGCTGTCATTGATAATCCTTATATCAGCACTCGAAGAATAGCACACAACATACATGTAAGTCAAAATTTTGCATGGCGCGTATTGAACCGCCAAGTCCTTCATCCGTATCGTAACCAGAACGTTCAAGCTCTACAGCCAGGAGATAATCAGCAAAGGTTAGCATTTTGTGAATGGTTATTGCAGTAACATGCTCAAAATAATGACTTCATTTCAAATGTTCTCTGGACAGATGAATCATGTTTTACACGAGATGGTATAAATAATTACCATAATGAACATATCTGGGCATTACAAAATCAACATGCGATTAGACTAAGAAAATTTGAACAACGTTTCAGCATCAACGTTTGGGGTGGAATATTTAACAACAATTTACTAGGTTTGCATGTACTTGATGGACGTTTGAACGCTGTAAATTACAGATTTTTTTTGAACAATACACTTTTTGATTTACTTGAAGATATACCTCTTAATGTAATTCAAAATATGTTGTACCAGCACAATGGTGCCCACCTTATCGCGGAAGAGTAGTTGTCGAGTGGTTAAATCAATATTTTCCAAACAAGTGGATTGGTAGTAATGGTCCATTTGCTTGGCCACTTAGATCCCCGGATCTTAATCCATTGGATTTCTACTTATGGGGTCATATGAAACAAATTGTGTATCAAGTGGAAATTAACACACGAGAACAGTTATTAAACAGAATACAAATGGCTGCTACTGAAACAAGAAATCAACCAGACATTTTAATTCGGCTGAAGAACTCTTTAATGCGTCATTGTGAAGCATGTATTCCTCCTTCAGAAGGAGACTATTTTGAACAATATTTGTAATATTTATGTATTTTAAAAAAATGTAGCTGTTAATTATGATATAAAAATTAAAACTTTAAAGTATTATAATTTCGTAAATAATTAAAATAGGACATATGTTCATTAACATTTTTTTGTGCAATTGGATTAGCTATCATATGACAAAGTTTGATGGTGAGCTGATAAATCACCCTGTATAAATCAATAAATGGCTAAGGTATAGATTACCTTCAATAATTTCAGTGATTTGTCATATACAGATAAAATTTGGTATACTGTGAAATTTTATAATGAGGAATCTGATAAGATCGGCATCCACCAACATCCCTTTTCGAGAAAATATATAATTTTAACTAACAATCGATAATAATGAAATACTAGTAATAACAGCTATGTTCCAAAAAGCGGCCCCGACTCGTATTCAAATGCATTCAACTAAGAATAAAATCAACGTCGCTGATTGTCGGGGAATTACCCGACAATCGGACAGTCCTAGTCGCCATCGGCCTGGCGCGCCAGCCCGATCGAGTACACATGGAGCGGTGTTGCCGCATTAAGCGTGTTCACGAGGGAATCTCGTTTCGAATTTTTCGCCAGCTAGGTAGGCCTCTTAAGACATTTGTACGCATCCCT